GTTTTTGAAGTTGTAGATGAGAGACCGGTGATAGATGTGGAGCAACAGGGAAATCCTAGCACAAGGCAGCTCGCCTCTCTTTAACACCAGAAGGCTTGTGATGAGTCAAGTCTGGTAGATTTTCAGATCCATCAGGGAGCATAAGCTGCAAAAGTCAGTGGTGGGCCATGAGAGTGGGAGCTGGGATCCTGAGGTAAAGAGTGAGGAAGTGACATTTTTAGTTAAAAGAGAAAAAAAGAAAGCCATTGTCTGGAGATCATAGGCCATGATGGGCAGTGAATCGACACTGTGCTGATATTGTACCAAAGTTTCACACTGACTTATTATCACCTAAATAATGTATCACCTTCCCTGTGGAAGTGCTGATCCCTAAATGGTAAATTAACATTCAATAGAAATGTAAACTTACATAGAAAATGTAAACTTACATTTACAAGTGGGCTTGTTTTGTTCCTCAGCTTTTATAGGTCTTTTAGAAAAATTTCACAGACTCCCCAGTGTCTTTAGAAGTAATGCATGTAGCTTAATGAATGAAATTGTGCCCCAACAGACAGCCAAGAAAAACCTGCCTTGTCCCTTAGCACTGCCCAGTTCCAGTTGTGGAAGTGGTGATGCAAATGTGTGTCAGGAGTGATGCAGCTCTAGTGGATCCTATTTGGAAGCATGGAGATTGCTAATGGATCTCTGGAAGTCCTTTTGCAGGCTGTGATTGTGGGCTGCTAATTAGAAACGGGATTTGACAGCCCAGCACTGAAAGAGAGAGGGAAAAGTAGGAAAGAGATTTTTGAACAGGGATGCGATAGGAAAGGGGACACGAGGGCAGGTGCGTACGGTGGGGAGGGCTGGGACGGAATGGACATGGCTCCTCCAGCTGAGCTGTACCCCATGAGCGATGTGGGGTCCCAGCTCCGGGTGCTGTGCCTGGGCTGGTCCCTGTTGCCCAGGGGGTGGCATTGCCGAGCTGCCCTGCAGCAGGATGCAACCCTTGGGGGGGCCGTTTTCGACTTCCCCCTCGCTGCAGCTCGTCCGCTGAAATGGCACTGTGTTAGGTCTGGGTTGAAAGTTATCTGAGTGGTGCATGGCAAGAGCATAGCTGAAACCTGCCCTCCTTCTCACATCTTTTGAGACATTTTCTTGAGTGGGAAATTGCTGGTGAAGTCCCTCTCTCCAGGCAGAGCAGAGTTACCCTGGGCTATTACAGGCATGTCTAAGGGCAGTGGATGTGAAGCCATGGGAAGAGAAGTCTAGCTGCACAGGGATGAGCAAGTAGGTGGTGGTGGTGTGCCAGTCACAGGGCCAGACTAGCAGATTGTAAAGCTTGGTACCCTGCTGAAAGGCTGCAGGCTGGGCTCCCTCTCCCTCAGTCCCACACGAAGCCAGGTTATTTTGGCCTCTGCCTTTATGCGTGGGAGGTTATGCTATCCTAACCTCACACCAGCTCTACCTGGAAACTACTGCCAGCTTAATGTAATACAATTTCTATTTGTACTTATGTCCTGGTTTGACTGCCTTAAACAGTGACAACTTAACAGGGTACATCGCTGGTGGTGGCTCCTCCTTCCAGTAACACGGCAGTGCGCAGCCATTCTGGCCTGTTCTGTGAAAGTGCTCTTTGACTTCAAGCCAAGACTGATATGGCAAATAGCATCTGGGTCAGACATGGATTTTTTTGAATACAGCACGTGGGTCTCTCATGATCATTGCAAAAGGCGATGTGAGGAAGTACCGGAGCAGGGAACTACACAGAGGGTTACAGTGTAAAGCAAAGACACAGAAGGATCTGCCAGTCCTTACTGGAGTCTCACTGACACTTTTTTCTTGGCTCACATCTGTCTGCTCTTCTGCTCTCATCTCAGCATGAAATCATTTATTTTGTAAAGAACAGAAAGAGCAGAAGTTTCAGGCAATGTCATTCCCTTGAGTGAGGGGACGTGCACACAGTGACAGCTTCAGGCTGCGCGTGAAGGCAGGCCCTTCAGGGAAGACAGCTTGACAAGTCCCTTGTCTGCATCTTCCTCTTTGGTCTAGAATCGAGGGAAGGCTGGTAAACAAGGACTGCACGGCATTCAAAATAAAGAGTTCAGCCTACGAAATAAAAGACGCTAACGGAGGTCTCTCCTTGGCTTTCCTCCTCCCACGTGGGAAGGAGCTGGTTGACAAGTCCCTTGTCTGCATCTTCCTCTTTGGTCTAGAATCGAGGGAAGGCTGGTAAACAAGGACTGCACGGCATTCAAAATAAAGAGTTCAGCCTACGAAATAAAAGACGCTAACGGAGGTCTCTCCTTGCTTTCCTCCTCCCACGTGGGAAGGAGCTCAGCAACATCCTCAGCAGTGCAGGAGCTGGGTCTCTCTCACACTGTTCTTCACATCACTCTCTCTTTTGGGGGTTATACATGCAGAGTTTTACATTGTCCCTTTTAGGAGGCAGGTGTGAAACACCTAGGCTTTTTGCAACGGTCTGGCATTAAATTCGTGCAGGAATACACAGAACAGTATTGCACAGAGCAGGAGAGGAACTAAATTAATTCCTATGCAAGGGGGTAAAATTACTGCAAGGAAATGAAGAACCGTGAGACCTGAATACTTTTGCAAAACTGTCATGCTGCAAAAGGGTCACTGAACTTTTTGGTGCACAGAAGGATGAAAAATGCTGTGCATAATCAGCTAGCTCGAAAGAAATTTTAGAAACAGAATGAGATAGTGTTTAGTTTTTTCTGTACTCCAGTTTTACACACTCCTACGTAATTAATACACAGCTGCCAATGTTGCCTTTTCTTGTACAGGATGCATTTTTCAAATTAGACCAAAGTACAAAACGTGCAAGTCTTTGTAATATTATAGCAAAGAGGTTTCGCTCATTCAGAAGGTGCAAGCACCAGAATTAAATCGGGGTGACGCGTGGGTGGTTTTGGGACCAGTTCAGCTCACACCTGTCACTTGCAGCGACCAGGCAAAGTTTGCTGTGCGTTGGCCCATCACTTTTGAAATTAATGGGAAAACTCACGAACATCAGGGAACACCAGAACCCACCAGCTGTGGAAGAGCCCAGCACCTCTACCCTTTTGAATTCAGGCAGTGAGATCAGCTACGTGCATTTGATAACTGCTAGGCGGGGAGCAGCTGAAATAGATTCTGTTTCATGGCCTGTATTCAGGCTAAGAGGATGTCAGACTTTGCGACTGCTGTGACTGATCTAAGATCAGTCCCTGCTGGGTTTATGGCCTGCCAGAAATCTCCTGAGCCAGTAAATCCGCATTTCGGTGGCTCTGGTGCCTGAGGAGCTTCCAGGCAAGGCAGGGCTGCCAATGCTCCGAGCATCCTGGATGCCCGCCCTTGCTCTCCCCAGAGCAGCCATAAGTAAGTTTGCCTGAAGTGAGGGGAAGAAAAAGGCAGGGAGAATGGGCCAGCCTTCACAGCAAGAGTGGACATCCACAAATCAGAACTGCCCCTCTCCTCTCCATCCCCAACCACTTTAGCTCCCCAAAACTACCTCCATAAACAGAAAATATGGGGGACCGACCCCTCTGCTGACATCCATTTGGGACGGCCATCAAAGCGACCGATAGGTCCACATGAGAGCCTGGCCCATCACAGAGCTGTCAAACCAGTTTAACCCATTTAACAGGTTTTTGGAGACTTCATTTTGGTTTTCAGTTACTGAAGCTTGGGAGGCTTCTGTGGAGGGGGGTGATGAAAACACTGCCAGGCCTGCCTATGCGGGGAGGTGAAGGACTGCTGTTCATCCCTGGGCTACGTTTGAGCCGTTACTTCTATACCTTTCATGAAGGAATAATAATGCAGAAGTCACTGGTATTATTAAGATAGCTGTGTTTGTCTATTTGTTTTAGAAAAATGTAGAAATGTATAAGATTTTTTCTGTAACGGATCTTTGTTCACGTCCCAGCTATGTCACCTTACGGAGGCCATATTCCAGGAGAGGTTCAATGAAGGCAGTGGTATGTTTGAAGCCGCTAGCCAGAACACGGGTATTTGCCCCGGCTCCCCTCATCCTCGTTTTTACATCGTGACCAAATATCTCATCAGTGCCAGAATCAGGCCCTAAGCAAGCTGGTTTCTAAGTGAGTCCAGGTTTTTGTTTTGTTTTGTTTTAAAGAAATATACTTGGGATAAATATCCTCTGGCTTGTAAGCTCTAAAATACATTTGGGCAATTTCCCATATTTTTCATAGAATCATTATGGTTGGAAGAGACCTCAAAGATCATCAAGTCTCTCTAGTCACAAAAGCAAAATGCTTACTTTAATTATTTTCTTATATAGTGACATGGTTCCTGGGGCTGGGGAATCTGTGAGAGTGGAAAACATGAAAAATAGCCTACCTAGAGACACAGGTCCTCAGCTTTGGTCTGAGCAGGGAGGAAGGAGCAAGGCTTGCACGTGCCAGACAAAATGAGCGTTAGATTACATTTGGAAACTTCTGTGGGCATTGAATTACTGGAAGATAAATAACTGTAGTGATTATTTATCAAAAAG